TACAACTGGACACTGGGACAGAAATTGGCAAAGTTTTGTAATAGCCGCCAAGAGCATGCCTATCTTGAATATTTACGAATTAATTAAAAAAATTATACATTTATTCAGTATCTCCAACTAATTCAGTTACTCAGTTCACAGCAGATAACGTCAGACAAATGAGAAAAATATATTAAGGTAGCTTATACCCTTTGAATGTAAAAAAATAAAACAATTTATTTTGAATCAATTTTCAGAGGTTTTACTTAGTTCAAAATTATTCTTAACGTCACATCAAACTCTGTGCCCATTTTCAGGAGCATTCAGTCATGTTTATAGAAGTTATCAGGAACATAAGACCTTTCTTTTGTATTTTCTTGTTTTTATGATATGCAAATTAGCCACAGTGGTAATGTTACACAACATGTGCCAGAATATTGCTTTGTACCTGTTTCAATATATTTTCATACGAAAAGCATAGCATGAAAATGCTTTTCTGATAAAAAGAAAAGAGGCCAAAACCTAGTTAACACTATGTAAAAGGGTATATGCTACAAGCAGCTACCCTAACAGAAACCATTTAGTAGCTCAGTAGTAAGTTTGAGAATTATAACACTAAAAATCGGGTTTCAACGGCCTATTGTGTAACTTTGCGCTTAACAATATAGAAACCCTCTAGTGGCACAGCGCCATGTCTGCGGACTTACAACGCTAGAAACAGGGTTTCGATACCCGTGGTGAGCAGAGCACAGATAGCCCATTGCGTGGTTTTGTGCCTAACTATAAACAAACATAACAATATACAGATAAGAATTAAAAGCAGTGAACAAAATACATTAATCATATATCGATCATCTAACGCAAATATGTCGCTGTAAACTACGCTGTAATATTAAACACAGAAAAATAACACGATTATTTTACACCAATATTTACTCAACAATAAAAATAATTACACACACAAAAACACATTGTTTTCAAATGTTAGACGTTCAAAGTATTTTATCAACACACACACACACACATACATATATATATATATATATTTGAACCTATTGTCCATTTTTATTGTCGATGGATTACTTCATTACTACTGAATGTCTAATATCTAACACTACTAACAGCAACTAGCAGCACACGTGTCACGCTTTTGAAATTTTTTATCACACATTATATTCTATAGTGTACTTCCTGTAAAATATTTTTACAGCTTATTAAAAGTTGTACCATTAGGAAAGTGTCTATTCTTGGATATTTAAAGTGGTAAGTTTTAAAAGATATTTTATTTTTTAGTTATACTGTGGAATAATAATAACGTGTCAAATGACAAAAGTGCTAGGCCTAACGTTATACTGTACTAATTCTGTAACTGTCGCTGGCTCGAAAGGTAATACTAATAGTAATATTATTAATATTCGTAGTACAACTAGTAGTACTACTTCTACTTAATATCACTGATATCACATAACAAAAAAATGTGACTAGATTTTATTTTTTTTAAATTTAAGGTAATTGTAATAGTTGATTTGCACTGTGTAGTTTATACAGAAAAGTTTGGCCTTTTGGTTTATAAACTGGACTTAAATTTTGTAGTGTAAAAATTACACATTATATTTTTTGTGTTTACATTGGTCATTATGTATCGTGTAACATTAACCTGCAATGTAGGAAAAACTTCAAAAAGACCCAGTGTAGGGTACGTTTTTTAATTATGACATCTGTATTGTAGGCCAAAGGGAGTTTTCATATCATGTGATAGGCGTGCTTTAATTTCTCAAACTTAATGACAAGAAACTTCTTGAAGGTTTAGAAAACAAACCTAGTTGCATAAAAAGAGAACTCTAGAGTAGATTTACTGATTAATTATTGAGCTAGCAAGTTTCTTAGTTTAATTTTGTGAGTATTGACTTTATGTTTTGACAAAGAAATGGAGACCATGGGAAGGTGCTGTACATGTACTATAGGAAACGTTAGCAATTGAAATTGTTGCATTAACATGTACTGTGAACTTTGGCATATCAGCTGACATTATTTAACCTTATTTGTAGAACAGGTGGTTGAAAACAAAAATATTTTAGTTATCATAAAGTGGAATGGACTTTGCATTTTAGTTTTTCTTTTTTGCCAAATAATCCAAAAGAACCTATCCAACAATATAAATCATTACAAAAGTATAAAAACCTTGATATTATAAAAAAGTTTGATACGTACAATGTAAGTTACAGTGATGGGGGAGAAAACTTACTTGTAAAACTTTTTTTTTTAATTTAAATACTTCACTTATGAAACAATTTTTCGTGAAGTTTTTCAAAAGATGTAATTTAAAATACTAAGTCTTACTCCATTCTTCATGACATAAAATCATACCCAGAATCAGTTATTCTTACATCTTTCATCTTTAGTCTAAAATAAGAATTTGACTTTTGTTTTAGTAGGAAAAGAAAATGTATCATTTCTCATTTAACAGAAAACAACTTAATAGTTTACTTCATAACTATACTTCATCTTATGAAATGTCTTATTAATATTTCTTCTAAAAGATAATAAGTTTTGTTTAGTTCATTATCACTCATTGTTCAATTCTACATATTACATCATCATTTTTATGCTAGAAAACCTGTACAAATGTTAAATTGCATTTAAATGAAATCTTCAAAATATTTATGTAATGATTTCATAAGGTAAATTATTCAACTACAAAAGTTTAACATAAGCTTTGTGTATTATTACCTTTAGATGATAGAAAATTATGAATTTTCTTACTCTTGTGAACACTAGGGTACAATGCTTGTTTATAATCTAGATCATCAATAGAGACCGGCACTGTACTCAAGTTAAAAGTGGAGTTGATTTCCTTTAAAGGGAAGGTTTGTGTTTTTACTTTTTCTTAAGGGTGGGTATGCAGGGACAGATTTGAAGAAGCAATTGGTCCATTTTGTCTGTATGTTGTGCTATATTCTCAATCTTTAGCCTTCATACTAAAGTAGGAGACTCGTGTAATTGCAAGAGGTACTGGGTATGATTTTTTTACTATCTCACAATTTAAACAAATACTTGAAATTTGCCATTTTATAATTTTGAAAGTTTGAGGAAAATGAGATGTACTTTCTCCGTGTTGAAAAACTATATATATAATTACATACAAGTTATATTCATATTGAATAAATTGTGGATCGTCTCAAAGTTGTAAAGTGTTTAAATAACTTACCAACTGAGCATAATGTCCCAGTATAACATATGGTGAAATATTTTCTATTTAACAGTGTAATAGATAATTCATATTATTGTTGTACGTACAATCTAATAGATACCCTTAGTGGTTTTTGTGCAAAGTTACCAGAATTGTGAAATGGTAGATTTCAAATGATTTGTTAAACTGTAACTTAGGTATTTCAGTATTTCCTTGTCGTACTAGTCAACAGTTAATATTACATCATAATCTCTAAGTGTAACATTTGTAATATGAAACGTATATGTATAATGTAGCTTCCTCATGAGCTATAAGTGAACTTTATTATGAAAAGAAGAGTTTTAGCATCTCGGCTCTCATATTAAGTTACTGTTGATTTGTTTCAGTAAAAAAAAATCTTATCTGAAATTCAGATTGGATCAATTTTTATGAATTTTTCTCACTTACCTGAACCATATTCTGAACTGGAGATCTTTTGTACCATATATTTCAATTTGGCTGGTGTCAGAATGCTGCACCTTTCTGAAAATATGATACTGTAGGTAGAAGATGTTAATTTTTCTGATAATTCCTAATGAATGTATAAATTTGAAATGTTTTGAAATAAATAAATACATTTTACTGATTTTAGCTAAACTATATTAAGAGATTCACAGCTCAAATCAGATAATGTTAGGCTGTTTATCATTTTTTATCTCTAAGAAATGTCACATTTTTGAAACAGTGAATTATTTTAATGTCAGTTGATTAGATAAGCAAACAAGTTTATGAAAATAGATCCAAAACTTAATTTTAGATTAACTCCTAAGGATTTGTATTTAAATAATTTTAATACCTTATACTTCCTGTGCAAAATGTTGGAGTAAAATTACTGATAGTTGTTTTACTTTTGTTTATGTTATGATGAAACATTTCCAATATACTTAACATGTAAATAACAAGCATTTGTCAATTCTTTACATCAGAGAAGAAATTTGAAGGTAGTAAAGGTATTTCACTGATACAGTTTTATAGACCATTGTATTCTGACACAGTTCATCTTTTCAGTATTTAAACATGCTTATTACTAATTGTCATAATATCACACAAAAAGTAGTAAATGTCTTAATCATTCCTAATCTAAAGGAAGGTCCCATTTACTGATTATTTACTTTTTTTCTGTAATGATTAGTAAATATAAAGATTTCATTCAATGTAAAATTTTATAAAACATATTTTAGCATATGCGATGAAGAGAAGTAATATTTATTTTTGTGTTCTTGAAAAATCATTTAATTAAAATGTTTATAATAATATAGATTGAAAATGTATTTCTTACTGAGATGACTTTTTCAGACAAATGCTATTCTGTCAAAGGTTTTAAAATGTAAACAAATTCCCAGAATTAGTATACATTATATGAGTTTATAAATATAAGGTCTTTTAACTTAATTCTGAATTTAACCTACTTCATCTTACTATCTATATTTTTAAGCAAAAAATATGAGACAGGGCAGGATGAGAGTTTGGGTTATTAATGTTGCTTTTACTACCCATTGAAGTGACCATTCAGTAGAATCAACCCTTAATAAATTTCAGACAAATTTTTATCATTATTATATAGATCTCTTCATCAGATGAACTGCTCCTAAAATTTATAACATTGAATATAAAAGTAATTCTGCCAAAGAATATTTATATTAATAATGCAGTTTTACTACTCAACATAATCACCCACCTTATTAAAAAGTTTGTCTGTGAAAAAAATATTTGAAAATCATTGCCAGTTTAATGTTATAAAAGTAATTATTATAGTGCATTACAAATATTTGTTCATGAGATGATAATTTTTCAGTTCAATGTATCTTAGCAGGCCTGACAAGCCCTGGTATTGAGTGAAAGGCCTTTTCAGCCCTGAATATGGAAGATGTAGTATGGTTGACATAACATATTTATCTTTACTTTCACACATAAGTTCTGAGAATTATTAATAAAACTCTTTCCTGTTGATGCTGTGGTTGCTCTGGTAACAAGAAGAGTACATTTATGATTTGCTAGTTCTTCTCAATGATCGCAAAGTTAATTCATATAAAATAATAATAAGTAATATTGTGTTGTTAATCTTTACCCTAAAATTCTGATTTATAAATTGATAGTAACTACAATTCAGTTAATCTGATTTGTACGATACAGTTGTTCATGAAAGTTGATGCTGTAAGTAGTGCCTAGACCACTGCTATGTCTGTTTTATCCCAGCTGGCACTAGATATGGCAGATGTCATGTGGTTGATATAACATTTTCTTTACTTTCCCTCATAAGTTCTTAAAATTATTGTTTTTCAAGTATAATAAACACAGAATTTTTCTTTTTCAGTCAGAAATTCTTCACGCATAAACTAATCTGTATCAGATTTTTAATAGAGAAATAGTGATATTGGATGTCAAAATCAGCATGGCAAAAGTTTCAACTATTTCACATTCTGATAGTTTTTTTGTAGTTTAATATATGTATTTCATTAGCATACATTTAAGCACAATAGTACTGTTGTACTTGGTATAATATTAAAAAAAAATAGGTGAACTGGTAATTAAGACATGAAGGAGATACTCACAAACTTACAAAAAATGTTTAGGGATGGGACTAATGTTAGCTTCCCTCTATATTGAAATAAGGTTCATAAATCACAAGTGTAGAATTTATTTTCATCCAGTATTATTCATATTTTCTACCTGCAGCCAGTTATGCTGAAGAAGTAAGCTAATTTGTTTCAGTGCAAGTTTTAAGAAAAGTTATTCATTTTGGTTTTTAAAAACTTAATTAAAAGAAGACATTTATATGATTGCTGTGTTATTCATATTTATAATTGATAATTATAACACATATGCTATCTAACTAGAATTGCATTTTTTGGTTATCTCAAGATTATATTTCACAAAGTTTTGATAGAAACAAATATTGTACTATCATGAACTTCATAAATTTTGGTTTTATTTAAAACCCACATTTTTCAGATAGGCTGAATATGTTATGGTGTTATTTGTAAACAAATTTGACTATAATAATCTCAGTGCTGCAATTTCTGCTTCAATAATTTTCAACCCAAAAATCATTTGCAAGTTTTATAACATGATGTAAGTTTAAACCAAACAATAAAGTATGTGTTTGTATGTTTATATTTTACAGATGTCTAAGCCATTGGAAATCCCCCATCAAATTCGACCTGAGAAAGGTTTAGAACTTCCATCTTCTCCTTCCAGAACTTCCTTTGGATCACCAGGAAAATATTACCAGATTCCCAGTCCTATTATTACCCGACGTACACGGACATTTTCCTTGTAAGTATGAATTATAATTGGATTTTTCACTTTAAATTATTGCAATGATTTATAGTATAGCATCAGTATGTCTGGATGCCTGCAAACTTTTACCCTTTTAATATTTAAAATACATTATTTTGGCCATACTTTTACAATAAGTTGCATCTTTCTTATTTGCACATTTTTTTGGGTTTTTCAAAATATTATTTTAATGTTGCAAACTGAATTGCAATTGAAGGAATCTTCATTACTATTCATATGTCAAAACCTTTTAGTATCACATTGATTGTTTTACAGTATTTGTAATTGGATAAACAGTTTCGTTCAGCATTGTACAAGTACAGGTGTGGATTTTTTTGAATTGTCAACTAGTAA